TCTGTTCACAAACAACAGGTCCAGTGGTGTGCCTTCCCTGGTTGGCTCACTCACCAGCTGTGTCAGGAACTTATCTTCCACACGCTTCAGGAACCTCCTAGACTGTTTCCTCTCTGCTGTATTATATTTCCAGCAGACATCTGGTAAGTTGAAGTCCCCCACAAGAACAAGGCCTAGCAATTGTGAGACTTCTCCCAGATGCTTATAGAATATTCCGTCTGCCTCTTCGTCCTGGTTGGGTGGTTGATAACAGACTCCCGCCATGATATCTGCCTTGTTGGCCTTCCCCCTGATTCTTACCCATAAACTCTCAACCCTATCGTCACCATCATTAAGCTCTAGACAGTCAAAACACTCCCTAACACGTAGGGCTATCCCACCGCCTCTCCTTCCTTGCCTATGCCCTCTGAAAATTTTATAGCCATCCATTGCAGCACTCCAGTTGTGCGAGTCATCCCACCATGATGCTTGGGGGATTACACAAATAAATAAGAGTGAGTTCTGGAGTCTTAAATACCATCTCGGATTCTAGTTATTTTCTTTCAAAAAAGGATATATTGAAAATAGAAAAGTCACAGAAAGTGCAACAAGGATGATCAAAAGTATGGAGTGTGTGAGGTACGTGCTGGACAAACCTGCTCAGTTTGAAAAAGAGAAGACAGAAGGTAAGGTATGAGAGATCTGTGTGGTTATGGAAAGCATAGAGAGGATGAGTAGGAATGATTAGTTGCTATTTTTCATAATTTACAAACAAAGGGAACACTGAAGGAAATGATCACATGGCAGATTTTGACACTTTTTAAGTTGTAGATCGTTCATGGAAGGTTTGGAGTGTCAAAAGTATAAATGGATTCAAAAGTTTTTAGTTCTGTGGGGGAGAGGTCCATGAAAAACAGTTAATCACTGTTATGAAGATGCAGCCTTGAAATGAAGAAGCCAGAAGTGAGGAGGATGTGCTAAGGGAAATACTCTTTCATAAATGCCCACTTTCTTAGAGACTTTTTATAAGCACCTGCTAATGGCTAATGTCACCAAAGAAGGAGGGCCTAGGTGGACATTAGGTGTGACTCAGCATGGCTTTTCTACTCATTCCCATTTAAAATGCTCCTGTGGGTAGAACGTGGGTGCTAAATTTCCACATAGGTAAATACGTTTGTCCTCAATAAGTTCTTCTTCTCTGAATGGCTGAAATAAGCAGTTGTTCCCCAAAGATATTCTGCAGCATAGTTGATAATGATCCTGATTCCATGTGATGAGTAAAAGGTAAATTGCCTTACAGCATCGGGGGGACAGGCTAAATGAGAGAATGATTCAGAACATGCACCACTGCAGTGCAATGGCTACTTAGCTTACACAAGTGCAACTTTGATAAGCAAACTCTGAATGGATCTGTGCAAGATACATATATTCCGTGATGATCGTAAAACCCAATATTTGCATAGAAGTGGGGATTTGTCAAATCTACATGCTATGAATTGGTAATCTTCCAGATTTTTAAGAGATTGCTAGTATCCTGTGACAGTGAAAGTGTCTATAGGGTCTGTAAATGCAGATTCAGAAGAAATTAATTTCTCAAATATAGCAACAGGTCTAGTTTAGGAGGAGTGAGTTTGTTCAGTATGGGGAGGACATTTCTACATGTATTTTCGTCTGTGTCAGCTTTTGTTTTGTATTCCAGGTGAGTCAAACATTGTTTGGTATGACTTGACGAAACCAGTGCATACAGAGTTGCACTCTGATTACATGCAGCCCCTGGCTGAGATAAAAGCTCGAAACAAAAACCACATCCAGGGCATCCGACATCTAGTGCAAAACCTGCGGCTGATCAAATCTCCTGCAGAGATTGAAAGGATGAAGATAGCTGGACGGGTGACAGCAGAGGTATGGGGTTGTGTGCTCTCCAAATGAACCAGTGCATTCCTTTAAAGAAGAAAGGGGAGAGGGCTGTTGGTGAGGTGACATGGCTTGGAAGGATAGCTTTGGTCTAATCTGTTTCTGAACTGCTGTGTCTCAACCATCGGCTGGGCTCAGCTCCCTCCACGTGACAAGGAGAAACAGGAAGGCTGGTTGGACTACCAGCTTCTCTCAATTAGTGTAACTCCAGTGACGACAAGCCAGCAGCTGTTAGACTTTATTTAAAGGCAATATCTATTTAGGAATAGGGGTAGCCTCTTCACTTTCTTCCCAGCTTCCCTTCTCTTTCCCCACGCCATTTTCTTTCCCATTTATCCTGTTGATTTTGAGGAAGCGGGATTTTTGTGAACACGTTGCCTGTGTATGTCACCGTATTCCCCCTTCTCCCTCAAATACCTTTTGAACTCATTGGCCAACTTTAAACAAATCTGACAGATACCTCAAATGCAATTACATTTTTGTAAATATTATTAAAATAGATAGCTAAATAGAAAAAAGAGGCACAGCTTGTCCTTCTCTGAAGGAAAAGCTGCATAAGGCACTCCTATTATATGTGAGGGAATCCATAGGTGAGACAACTTGTAAAATGCCAACCCATGGGATCAGCTTCAATCATCTAATCCTTTTTCAAAAACTAGAGTCAATCAGCCCCTAAATACCGTTTCATGGGAACGGAGCTTAGTCGGTTCTAGTCTTGACAGCACTCTGCATTTTCAGCTGCCTCTGTTCCTGTGTTCTGGAGCAGCAGATTTTAGGCCTTCCTCAAAAGACAGCAGGTGAAAAAAAAGAACTTCCCTCAAGTTCAGGCTCCTTTACTAACTGAAAGGCCCTTCTTTTTCATAGGCTTTCACAGAGACAATGTTTGCCAGCAAATCCCCAGTGGATGAAGCCTTTCTGTATGCAAAGGTGAGTACTTCATTGTTGGAGGTGAGATAGAAGGAATGATGTTGTTTATCCTTCCAGGAAACTAGAAATGTCAGATCTCTCTATAATGTGCCTCCCACTGTAGCACATTTCTCTTTCACCCAACTCTGATGGTTCCATGCAGAAAAGTCGGTGTGAGGAATTCTTCAGCTGTACTTCCCGTACCCTTATTGAAGGAATGTAGCGGTTGTCCAAGTTTATCTGCCACTGATGTCTTTTTCTACTGTATTTAAATACAAAACCTGCTAAAAAATCAGAGATGTAGTTATTACCTTATTCTATAGTACAGTTCTGTGGTACAGAATTTAAGTAGTTTAACACCTATTTGCAAAGCCTGCTTCTCTTGACTCTAGCCTCTTACTACATCAGATTACCACAGCTATATTGAAGCAGTAACAAAATAAGGACTAATTGGCCTGCACACTTGATAGGGAATTTTGTAAGGAATTGCAGTGAGACGCCTGTTTGAGAAACATCAGCAGGATTTGACCCTCTGTATGACATAGATGGGCCTGTGCTGACATGGCACTGAGCAGCAGTACTGACTTGTAAAGAAAATTATTTTAATTAAAGTGTATTTTACAGATCAATTTTTTCTCCAGATCAGGATCATAAAACCTACTTTACTACATGTAGGCATCCTGGAATGCTCTGTCCCATGTCGTTTTGGTAATTATAGAAAAGACATGTTATTAATATATTGAGGTTATAGAGGGTCTTTATAGATGTAAGTTTATTCATTTCCATGCTTTCATCACCTTCATCACTCAAGAAAGGTAAAGATCTTGAGGCTTACAGTGCCTTTTTTTTTCTTCCCCTCGGACATCAAGGTAGTGCTTGCTTTCAAACCTTCTTAGTTAAACAGAGTCATGAAAATAGTAAATATGTAAATATGCTGGTATTTTGTAATCTTAAAAGACAACAACAAAACATGACCGTTGTTGTGCTGACATTTAGGATCTTTGAAAATTCACAAAGTCATATGGCAACTAAGAGCATTACTTTATATAAGAAGAAATCCTCACCTGGATTTATGACGATGTATTGAATGTTTGATACACTATTGAACAGCTTGCACCAGAAAGAACTTCCATGAGACCAGATGCAGGCTTAAAACACTCTCTTGAAAAGTGGATAGTTCTGTATTTTTTTTTTCTCAAGCGTTCTTGGAAAACTTTCAAGGCTGCTTTCATTTAGTGAGCTCACTTTCCAGTTTCACTTTATGTTGTACAAATTAAGGAAACAGTTGTAGGACGTGAATTATAATAGCCCCAGGGCAGTTCATTTCCTGAATCCGCACTAAATCTCCTCCTCTCTGAATTGGTATTCCAGTTCGAATTCGAGTGCCGGGCTCGTGGTGCTGACATCTTGGCGTACCCCCCTGTTGTTGCTGGTGGCAACAGATCAAACACTTTGCACTACGTGAAGAACAATCAGCTCATCAAGGTAAACCATACGCTGTCCAGTAACTTCAAATGCAGTGCTGTGACACACTGTCCCAATATGTGTCCCCTAGCTGCTCTTTGTTTTGACTGAACAGATCAAAACACTTAAATGTATATTTTCAAGTGAGCAGGGGAAAGAAATCCTGCCCTGGTTAGTTTTACTGTCAGTGACAGATTAACTTCACTCCATCTAGTCTCTTTCTCTCCTCTTTGCACTGTCTTCTCTGAACAGTGGAAGGACTTCTAAACAAGCTTGCAAATAACTTCATTCAGCGAGCATGTCTGCTCCCACACCATGTGCAGCCATGTGCAGTGCTGGGTGGGGTGCTAACCTCACAAAAGAGAGGAACCACTCCAGCAGGCAGAGTGAAAGCACTGTGGGGGGTCTTCTGCTGTCACTTGCATTGCTTGGCCTTGCTTTGCAACATGAGGTGCAGTAGTGCGTTCCCGCTCTGGCGAAGCTCAAAAGCATTTTGGACTCCCTGTAGGCCAGCAAATCAGGAAGGGGAACAAGGAGGGAAAGGATCAGCGTTAAATGTTGAGAGGTGGATTAGACGGTTGTAGGTAAATTAGCGTGTCTTGTCTTATTTCAAAGACTCACGTTATTGAATTGAACGCTCTCCAGCTTTCCTGACAATACATCTTTAGATTCAGATAAGTATTTTCAGGAGCAGTATTCCCCCACTGCTCTACTCACAATTCACTTTTCAGAGAAGCATATTTTTCCTCTGTCTTAATGCAGGATGAAACTTTCCCACTAGCATTGTCTTTTCTTGAAGCTGGCATGCTAGCAGACCTTGAAATGATCTGCAGAGACAGACATACAAAAGATATGACAGGCTGCTTTTGGCAGAAAGAAACCTCCTTTGTTGTACTGTCATCCAAGGTCAGGCGTGCTCATGTAACTGCAGTTGCTGCTGTTAAAGTTGTTCAGTTAAATGACTGTGACTTGTTTTTTTCAAAACTGTTAAGTAGGAGGTTAAACCCGTAAACTTGACTCTTTCTTTTCCTTTGTGTGCTACTTCCTACAGATGTTGTTGCCAAATAGGCTAACAAAGTGTCCAATTTGGAAGATACCTGAAGGCTGCTTATGGCCTCGTGTACTTCGTTCAGTCCGCCACTTAGTGGACTCAGCTTTAAAGAAAGAGGACAAGATGTATGACATAAGGCACTTACTGGGCAATCAAGCCACAGGCTGAATTCCCTTAGCCAATAAATTGTTACTTAACTTGTTTAACTGCTTGGAAGAGGGCAGGTGCTATAATTTAATGTTTTACTTAAAGAATTGAACCAGCTATTCTGAAAAAGTTAAAAATACAATTTAAATGGATAGTTAATGGCTTGTCTATTCAGTGGGATAGTGAGATCTGCTCACTGCTAGTTTATCTGCTGTGTAAGCATTTGTGGCACTTAACTGTATACAATGATAGTAGCTAGCACTGGAAGTAGTGCTAGTAGTGAAATTCTGCTTCTTATTTTTTCCCTTAACATGCTAGAATTATTCCTTGTCATTCCACATCATGACTGCTGGCACAGTCATGGATCTGTGGAGTGAATCTCTATAAAAGACCTTGGATTAGAATCATAGAATCATTTAGGTTGGAAAAGACCTTTAAGATCATTGAGTCCAACCGTTAACCTAGCACTGCCAAGTCCACCACTAAGCCATGTCCCTAAGTACCACATCTACACGTCTTTTAAATACCTCCGGGGGTGGTGACTCCACCACTTCCTGGGCAGCCTGTTCCAGTGCTTGACAATCCTTTTGGTGAAGAAATTTTTCCTAATATCCAATCTAAACCTCCCCTGGCACAACTTGAGGCCATTTCCTCTTGTCCTGGATTACATGTAGTGTAAATCCATAGAGAATTTAATCCAAACTTTTTACAGATCTCACTGCTCTATTTGTTGTTAGCCCCTTTAAGGAGGGAAAGCAAGGCAGTGATTTTGTTCCTGGCCCTTTGTCTTTTTTGCGTGGCTTTTTGGAAGATATGCAGTCGGTGATCTAATTGACATGGAACAGTTTTGCTGAAGTGAATTTTGGAGGTTCACATCTCCAAAAGTTATTTCTTCATCACCAGATAGATTCAGAAGTATATCTTAGAGTGGTCAAGAAAGTCCCAAAAGAGAATAGGGAAGATGGTACAAGCTATTCAATAGTGCATTTACAGTAGTGATACACTGTCATAGAAGTGATTTTGCTGGGTCCTCCTACCTTGTGACAAGGCTAAATCTTCAGCTGTTAGTGATCTTGTGGGTAGCTCAGAAATCTATGGTTTTGTTGCAAAACCCTTCTGTCTCAGTCACTAGCAGAGAACTTCTAGTGAAAGTGGTCACTGGTGTAATTTACTGGAGTAAGCGATCCAGGTGTGAACGGGACTGATGTCTCAAAGCACAGAATAGTTCAAGGAAAATGTCTTTTTTTTACTCCAAAGTGTTTGAAAATCAGTGTGTTAAGAGTTCAGGCTGTAGACAAGCGTAACAGAGACTACCTTGCAGAGAAACAATCCAACTGGAATAGCCTATTTATAAACAGTAGCACCTGGGGTGTTGTTCTGCAAAAGGAATTCACATCTCTGCAGCTGCTTTGCAAAAATAAATACATAATCTCCTTTCCTGCTCTCAGACAGAAAAATCAATTCAGTTAATAGCAGGACTGACCCACAGGGCATTTTTTCCTGTTATTCTCCAGGATGGTGAACTGGTCTTGCTAGATGGTGGATGTGAGTCTTCCTGCTATGTAAGTGACATCACACGTACCTGGCCCGTCAATGGAAGGTATGCTGCGATAAGGCTGTTTTGAAGAACTTTGAGAAGCTCTTAAATAATTGATGGATTGAGTGTATGTGTATTTAATCTCTGTGTGAATAGTTTTAACATGTCCCATTCTGTGGTTCTTCAGAATAATCAAATTATATAAACTAATCTTTCAGCATGAGAAGCTGTATTCCCCACTGCCTCATTAATTACTGCATGAATATGTGTGATTACTGCTATTTTCAGCTATTACAGCATGCTTAAAGTGCAGAGAGGGCTTTTGTGCATTCAGCTGTGGCTAAGTCTGGTTGTGTGTAAGAAAACAGGAGTTTAGTTGACCTGTACATGGCTCTGTTAGTTGTCAATTTGCTGGTGTGGTGTCCCTGTGGTTGTGTGTTTGATTCCTGTATGTTTTGGCTCAAGTGCATTCTTTCTCCTGCAGTAGCTTTGCCTTGGTTTGCTTTGGGGTTAGGTTGTCAGCTGAGAAACCCTGCCTTTACCCAGTGTATTGAAGGGCATGTTGCAGGGATGCCTTGTCTGGCATTTCAGATAAGGAGCAGTTGCTTTCCTTTCTGACTTTCCCTGCTCCAACACTGAACTGAATCTGTTCCCAAAATAGGTTCTGGGTAGAGGTTTAATTGTGAGAAATGTCCTTTGTTCCTTATCTCAATGGTTTTCAGGTTCACCAAACCCCAAGCAGAATTATACCAGGCTGTCCTGGATATCCAGAAGTCCTGCCTGAGCCTCTGCTCCCCAGGCATGAGTCTAGAAAATATCTACAGCCTCATGCTAAGCCTTATTGGACAGAAACTGAAAGAGTTGGGGGTCCTAAAGAGCAGCATCACTGAGAGCCACTTCTTCAAGGTACTTGAAGTTTTTTTACTCCAGCTTCCCCCTACTAGGCCTGGCTGTTTTCTCCTTGGGTTATATTAGTGGCTTTAGTTTGGCTCAGGAATGTCCTTTTGAGGTTAATCTTCTAATTGTCCCCACTCAGTACACTTTAATTCTTGCTGTGGGCTGGTCGCAGCACAGGACTAGATTTCTTTCAGGCAAGGCTAAACTTGAAGATGTGTTTCAACCATTCAGTGCACAATTTGGTCTGAAGTAACCCCCCAGTCTTATATGCACATACTGGGAGTATATGTCCTTAACACTTGCTATTTCACTCTGCAGATCCATTCCCATGGGTCTGCACTACTTGTTAGTGTAGATGCAGCTTCAGAGTACAGCCAGTCTGAAGGGGACCTGCAGAGACATTGTCACTAACACAAAATTCTGGGTCCAGGGCTGGCTGCAGGCAACTAGTCATAGTTTTGTGATCTGTTTAACATAGCATAAATCTGCAGTGCCACCAAAAGATGCAGCCCATTCTTCTCGGTCGTTCCACCTGCTGCCTCTTCTGCACCATTTTGTGTCGGTATTGGGATTCACAGAGCTACCTGGTGAACAAGACTGGGAAACCGGTCTGCCTTGGAGCTGAACTTGCAGATAAAATAGGATTGGTTTGCAGATAGAGAAGTTTATCCGGTCCCACTCACTGCAAACCTGCATGATTGCTGATGCCGATACAAGAAAGATGGTGGAACCAGGTGACGGAACTACCCCTTTGGCAGCAGGACAGATTCCTGCCAGATTTAATTGTCCTACAGTGTCAGTGCAGTAACAGCACAAGTTCTCACCTGTGAATGGAGGCTATCATGCCAGTTTCTCTCAGCAGGCGGCAGCAGAGCCAGATGAGACCAGCGCCTGTCTGCAGCTCACTCCCCAGTGGATGTGAGGAGCGTGGGGCAGAGGAGGAATTAGCTCTTTGATTCCTG